TAGTGCCTTGTTTGGGGGCTGCCTTGCTCTGTTCAAGGCCCACGCTCACGTGAGCGCTTGGAAAGAGCTCCAGGAATGCAGGGCGAGTCTCAAAAGCACCAGCTTCTGTGTCTGATTCGTTAGAGAAAGTTCCTTCTCTGGGTGATTGTTGAGATTATTATCGTGCCGTCTTCGACTATAATTTGCTGTTTAATCATGATGACATCTCCATATGCTAGTTGACGTTATTGTTCTTAGGCAGCAACACGGTGAGCTTTGTTGCCAGTTCTGAGAGGTGATACTAACCAGAAATGTCCCATCTTGGAGTTGGGCTGGGAAGTGGGCGTCCAGCCCAGAGGGCCTCCTCACACCAACCTCCGCCTGGCGCCAAGCGTGGGAGCACCCTCTCCAGCCATCTGCACCTCGCATCCTCCCATGGCTCTCCACCTGGCCCGCTCGCTCGCTCGCTCTGGCTTCGAGCTCTGGAGGAGCTGTTGGGACTGGGGAAGGACCGCTTTCATTGAAGTTAAAACTCGCGAGTGTAGTGTGTGATGATCTCAGTTGTGAAAATACCAGAGAGGTCAGTTCCAAGTCCCAGCTTCATCGTAGCAACCCCAAAGACCCTAGGAGCGGGGAGGATGATTAAAGGGAAGGAGACAGCAAGTGAAAGCGAAGGCCAAGGGCACGGGAAACAGGAGACCACGGGGAAAGACTGGGGAAACAGACCCCAGAAGTAGAGTTAGCAGAGGAGGGAGCCCAAGGCGCTCAAGAGAAACACAGAGATGATACAGAAACTCAAAGTTGGAAAGAATAGAGCCGTGGAGGAGAAATAAGGGACTTGTTTTCCTTCAGGACTCTCAGAGGAGCCAGTGACCTCAAGCTCAAGGGCACCCCCCCACAGCCCGCCCCAGGCCCCAACACACACACACACACACACACACACACACACACACACACACACATTTCCTTTCTGCAGGCCAAGGCCACAGGACCCGGTGCCTTTGTACTGGGTGAGCCAGCACCAGCACTAGCAGGAGCAACAGCACGAAGCCTGCTGCTCTTGCCCAGAGCCTCAGGGCATCCCGTGATCCAGGCAGAAATGGATCCAGGAATTTCCCTTTGGGAATTTTCTCTCAAATCCCAGTAGAGTCCTTTCTGTAAGGGTCTTCCCTGTTCTCTCAGCCCTCCTCCACCAGCCCCTCCACACAGCAGGCTCTGCTCCCAGTTTGTCTTTGATGACTCCCTACCTCCTTAGCCCATGGACCCCCAGGGAAAGACCACTGCCCCACTTTTCCTTCCTCCAGAGCACCTACCAAAGGAAATCCCAGGTGCTGACCTGCATCCCTCCACCTCCTGGCCCTGAAAACAAAGTGGTGGGGGTAGATGGAAGGAAGGGAGAAGTGAGCCGGAGGCCAACTTGTAGGGGCTCAGAAGAGACCCTGCATTTACCCCTCTGTCCCCGCCCCCAGTCTCTGCAACTGCCGAGGCCAGGAAGCCCAGGAACTTGGGAATGCTGCAGCTTGTGTCTCACATACCTGCATACCTTCCCCAAAGAGAACAGCACCCAGAAGCCCCACAGGGGCCCTTTCCTAAGGTCAAGGGCTGGGGAGCTTCAGACCCAAATCCATGGCTCAGGAAATCCCGGCCCAGCTCTGCCCAGCCAGGTCAGACTCCCACACGCTGCACCACCCACCTAAGAGAGGGCTCTTTCTCCCCTCTTACTCGCCAACCACCCCAGAGTGGGGGTGGGGAGAATGTAGCATTCAGTTCAGATTTGGGCCATGGAAGGACGTCACCTTTAGTGTGGCCTCCCAAAGCCAAAAGGCAGGCTCTGTCCTGTTCTGTGACCTTCTCCCACAGTGCCGTAGACAAGGACTGCCCCCAGACCATTCCATCCCAATGGGCTCCTGGTCTGCAGTCCTGTCATTCACCTCCCCAACCCAAGTCTGTGGGTTCTCCCAGCACTGGATTCCTCCTGTAGTTCTGCTGCAGCTTCTCTCACCCACTCCTTTAGTATGACTGTTCATATTATATTCATCTCCCCCAGGTTACAAATAAAACATAAGGTTTTATAACCATTGAAGCAATTCAAAGATACATGGGGGGGAGGGGTTGATCCTCCTCCACTAACAGATGTTAATAGGTGGATGTGTATTCTTCCACACTTTTCCCCAGGTGTGTGTAAACATATATTGACATATACCTATGGGAGGTGGGAATTTTTTTTCCATTGGGATATATTT